TAAGCTTCACAAAGCAAAGTTTTTGGTCTGTTTCGTTCATTGCTATGTCCCCAATGCCTAGATAGTCCTGGGAAAAGGCAAAGATTCTACAGATGAAGAACCTTAGGTTCAGAGAGCACATGGCTCCTAAACAGAGAGGCCTTCTAGCTCTGGGTTCAGTGCTTAGTGCTGCTTTCTGGAGCACAGACGAGCCTTTTCACTAGGATAAATTATCTGAGAAAGGACAAGGTCCCCAGAGAGGACTCTTGCCAGGCCAATGGATCACAGTCATCAAGAAGCGCAAACGCTCTGGCAGGAAAGAGGACAGGCACAGATGGAAATCAATATACCCTGTTCCAACACTTCAGCCCTTTCTTTGGGTCAAAGAGTCTTGGCAATATCCAGTAGCTCTACTCCACAGGCTTCCGTCCTCTCCTGCTTCCCTTCTGATCTGGGCTTTCCTATCCCCCCTGCATTGTGCTGGGTGGGTGAGACAGAGCCAAGGGCTTTGACACATATAACACTCTTGTGGCGGAAACAAAACAGAGCACAACACTAAGAAACCCTTATGTCTGGTTGGGATCTAGAATTTACAAAGCACTATTTTTTTTTTTTTTTTGAGACAGAGTTTTACTCTGGTAGCCCAGGTTGGAGTGAAATGGTGAGATCTCGGTTCATTGCAAACTCCACCTCCCAGGTTCAAGCAATTTCTCCTGCCTCAGCCTCCCGAGTAGCTGGGACTGCAGGCCACAATGCTCGGCTAATTTTGTATTTTTTTTGGTAGAGATAGAGTTTCACCATGTTGGCCAAGCTAATCTTGAACTCCTGACCTCAGGTGATCCGCCCACCTCAGCCTCCCAAAGTGCTGGGATTACAGGCACGAGCCACTGCGCCCAGCCTACAAAGCACTTTTACATCCAATCCCTCTTGATTGGAGCCTCCTTGTGAAAGGATCCAGAGGTACCTATCCATGAAGGACAAGCTCCCTAATTAAGAGAGTACAGGAAGTTCTAAGCAGAACCAACGATCTCCCCAAAGTGAGTAAATGATATGGTTAGAAACCCATGACACACATCCCAGTATGCAGCCCTATGCCACAGCAAAGAGCAGACTGAGCTCATGGCGCCAGCTGAACACCATCTGGGCAAGAGCCCCAGAATGAAAACAGAGGACTTCTGTTGTTAGTAAATGGGAGACTAGGTAAACGTACCAACTCTTCCACTAGGAGCCAAAGAGCTGTGCAAACATCTGAAAAGCATCAAAGAGATGACAAGATACTAAAGAATTACTAGGCAGACATCCCAGAGAGGACACGAATCCACACAGGTGAGCCCAGCATTTGGGCCACTTGGGCCCTCAGGCACTTGCCCATTTAGCAGAGGCGATGGAGAGAATGGGTTGTGTTTTTGAAAGTTTTGCTGGGCTGGGCAGGGGGAGTTGGAGTACAGGACCTATGAAAGGTGGGATACTGGTAAACCACGGCCTGTTTTGAGGTGTGACCTGAGAGGATTATACGCTAGGGTTAAGGATGAACCAGAAGCAAACCAGCCTTTACATAATCTGATAGGTCTGTGGCTTGGTTTCAGTGGCTCAGAAAATCTCCAAACTTGGGCTGGGCAGAGTGGCTCACACCTGTAATCCCAGCACTTTGGGAGGCCGAGGCAGGCAGATCACAAGGTCAGGAGATGGAGATCATCCTGGCCGACATGGTGAAATCTAAAAAAATTAGCTTAGTGTGGTGGCGCACACCTGTGTCCCAGCTACTCAGGAGGCTGAGGCAGGGGAATGACTTGAACCTGGGAGGCAGAGGTTGCAGGGAGCAGAGATGGCACCACTGCACTCCATCCTGGTGACAGAGCAAGACTCCATCTCAGAAAAAAAAAAAAAAGAAAAAGAAGAAAAAAAAAATCTCCAAACTTGAATCTGGATTACTGTGACTTCAGAATTCTAGTGCCCCTGGGTACCTGACAGAAGCAAATAGAAACCCTCTCTAGAGGGAGAAATCATCCTAGGCTTCAAAATATTTCTCAAATACAATGTCCAGCACAAAGTAAAAAATAACGAGGCACATGTGAACACACAAAAGGTAGAACCAGCAGAAATTAGGTGACAGAAATACACAGGGAATCCAGTTATTGGAATGATCACAGACTGAGCACAGACAAAAAGTTGAAGAAAACTGCCCTCGTTGTTGGTAAGTCTGGCTATTTGAACTCTTTACTCTCTAATCCGTCCCCATTCTACAACCCCTCACCCTCAATCTGCCTTCCCCACTGTCTCCAGAGCTGTCTTTTCACAAAACAAATCTGACCTTCCCTCAGTTCTGTGCTTAAATGGCATTCAGGCTGTTTGTAATCTGTCCTAAATTGCCCTTTGCAGCTTTATCACACGATCCCGTCATACAGACTACTTTCCTAAGTATTCTACCTTTGCCCTCAACGTCCTTGTCTCCTATGTTTTCCTGAAAAATGCCTCCTTATCCTTCAAAGTCCAATTTAAACCTCCTGTCTTTGAAGGCTTTCTGAAATCTTTTTTTTTTTTCAAGATGGAGTCTCGCTCTGTCACCCAGGCTGGAGTACAGCGGGGCGATCCCGGCTCACTGCAACTTACGTTTCCTGGGTTCAAGCAATTCTCCTACCCCAGCCTCCCAAGTAGCTGGGATTACAGGTGCCTGCCACCATGCCCAGCTGATTTTTGCATTTTTAGTAGAGACAGGGTTTCACCACGTTAGCCAGGCTGGTTTTGAACTCCTGACCTCAAGTGATCCACCCACCTCAGCCTCCCAAAGTGCTGGGATTACAGGTGTGAGCCACCATGCCCAGCCCCTTTCTGAAATCTTAACTCCAACTCTCATAGCTTTATACACACTGACATGCTATTCTAATTATTTGTATTGACACACACTATTATAATACTGACACACTGTTTAATTGTTTATGTCTGTTTCTCAAGCAGACTACTAACTTGTTGAGGTTAGGATCTGTTTTTATTCATTTAGTATTCCCAGCATCTAGCATAGTGCCAGGCTCAAAGTAAGTGCTTAATAAAGATTATTTTAATTTTTAGAGGCAGGGTCTCAGCTGTGTTGGCCAGGCTGGAGTGCAGTGGCTATTTCCAGGCTTAATCCCATTAATGATCACCATGGAAATTTTGACCTTTTCTGCTTCTGACCTGGGCTGGTTCACGCCTCCCCAGGCAACCTGGTGGTCCCATGCTCCCAGGGGGACACCACATTTTTACTAAACTTAGCGCGGACGCCTGATCATCATAACGCGCTATAGCCCAGAATTCCTGGACTCAAGCAATCCTCCTGCCTCAGGCTCCAGAGTGGCTGGGACTAGATGTGTGTACCATGCTGCCCAGCTTACTAAACATTTGTAAGACTCACTCTGTCACCCAGACTGGAGTGCAGTGGTACAATCTTGGCTCACTGCAACCTCCACCTCCTGGGTTCAAGCGATTCTCCTGCTTCAGCCTCTTCAGTAGTTGGGACTACAGGCATCCACCAGCATGCCTGGCTAATTATATATATATATATATGTATGTATTTTAGTAGAGACGGGGTTTCGCCTTGTTAGGCAGGCTAGTCTCAAACTCCTGATGACTCAGGTGATTCCCCTGTGGCCTTCCAAAGTGCTGGGATTATAGGCATGAGCCACCACGCCCAGGCTGAAATAGTATTCTTTTTTCTGAGACAGAGTCTCGCTCTGTCGCCAGGCTGGAGTGCAGTGGTGTGATCTCGGCTCACTGCAACCCGTCTCCCAGATTCAAGTGATCCTCCTGCCTCAGGCTCCCAAGTAGCTGGGACTACAGATGCACGCCACCATGCCCAGCTAATTTTTGTATTTTTAGTACAGATAGGGTTTCACCATGTTGGCCAGGATGGTCTCAATCTCTTGACCTCATGATCCACCCACCTCGGCCTCCCAAAGTGTTGGGATTACAGGCATCAGCCACCGCGCCCGGCCAGAGTATTCTTAATAACAGGTGACACAGATTGTTACAGCCTGATTGTGTTCCCCCAAAATCCATATGTTGAAGCCCCAATTTCTACTGCGACTGTATTTGGAGATATGGCTTATAACGGGCTAAGATTAAACAGGTGATAAAGGAGGGGCCCTAATCCAATAGAATTGGTGTCCTGGTAAGAACAGGAACAGACATCGGAGCTCTTTCTCTTTCCACATGCGTACAGAGGAAAAGCCGTGTGAGGACGCAATGAGAAGGAGCTTGAGTTTGCAAGGCAGGAAGGGAGGCTTCATCAGAAACCAACCCTGTTGGCACCTTGATCTTGCACTTTCAGCCTCCAGAACCATGGGGTATTAATTTGTGTTGTTTAAGCAATCCAGCCTGTGTTATTTTGCCATGATAGCCTAAGCAGACAAACACACAGACCATTTCTGAGATTTCAAAAACGTTTAAATACACATCTTTGCCAGCCTGGCCAACATGGTAAAACCCTGTCTCTTCTAAAAATACAAAAATTAGCCAGGCATGGTGGCATGCATCTGTAGTCCCAGCTACTTGGGAGGCTGAGGCATGAGAATTGCTTGAACCCGGGAGGTGGAGGTTGCATCGAGCTGAGATCATGCCCCCCGCACTCCAGCTTGGGTGATAGAGTGAGATGCTGTCTCAAAAAATAAATAAATAAAATAAATAATTATACATCTTTGGCTAGGTGTGGTGGTTCACACTTGTAATTCCAGCACTTTGGGAGGCTGAGGAGAGAGTTTGCTTGAGCCCAGGAGTTTGGGACCAGCCTGGGCAACATAGTGAGACTCTGCCTCTCCAAAAAAGTTTAAAAATTAGCCAGGTGTGGTGGCATGCACCTGTAGTCCCAGCAACTCAGAAGGCTGAGGTGGGAGGATCATTTGAGCTGGGGAGGTCAAGGCTGCAGTGAGCCTTGCACTCCAGTCTGGGTGACAGAGCGAGACTCCACCTCAAAATAAATAAATAAATAAACATCTTCAATGAGGGTAACTCAAACTCAAAGGAGTGGACACAATGACTAAGAGAACGAATAACTTTTTAAAAAGTTTTATTTCAAGAACTTTGTTTTTTACTGATATTTCAAAAAAAGGTGGGTCAAAGTACAAAAAAAAGTCAGTTGAATAACAGCACAGGTTTAGAAATCACAGCAGCAGAAGCAATGTACAGACAGCACAGACAAAACAACCCAATGTATGCAATTCTGTTCCGTTTCTTTGCTTATTTTAAGTATTTTTTTTGCCTCCTGTACAAAATACATCAAAGCATGCCATGAGATCAGAAAAAGAAAAGAGTTTAACAAATGGTTACAAGAAATAGACTCTGTACAAGAGGAGATAATGTTTCTTCCCCCAACCACCCCCCACCCCTGCTTTCTCTCTTCTTTCTCTGCTTTAGGTTAAATTATTCTGAAGACAGTTCACATCCAAGTCAGCCTGGTCACCTTTACCACCCTCAAGTTTGGGTGACATGGAGTTCTGGATGTTAAATGACTCCTCCTCTTTCAGGCAGGACTTGAGAGCTTCCTGCATTTTGTGAGGAGCACTGGGATCATCCTGGAAGAGGAAAAATGTTGATGGGGGAGACAATGTATAGAGCAATCAAATAATAATCTCAGGTTTTTCTGTCTGGCTGAAGGAAGCATCACTGAAAAAGGGAAAAGCTCCAAACCTGAATGAACTAAAAGGAATCAAACTAACTCATTAGCAGCAACTTTTTAGGAAAGTCATCCTTTTTTTTTTTTTTTTTTTTTGAGACGGAGTTTCACTCATGTTACCCAGGCTGGAGTGCAATGGCACGATCTCGGCTCACCGCAACCTCCGCCTCCTGGGTTCAGGCAATTCTCCTGCCTCAGCCTCCTGAGTAGCTGGGATTACAGGCATGCACCACCATGCCCAGCTAATGTTTTGTATTTTTAGTAGAGACGGGGTTTCACCATGTTGACCAGGATGGTCTCGATCTCTTGACCTCGTGATCCACCCGCCTCGGCCTCCCAAAGTGCTGGGATTACAGGCTTGAGCCACCGCGCCCGGCTGGAAAGTCATCCTTTAAAGCAATGTCCAGGCAGAGAGGAAACCTTGACAGTAATCAGCTTACAAATACCTTTAATTTGGGCCATATCCAAGGTTTTCTCTTGGACAGAGAAAGAATCCCTTTCAATACTTGGCCCAAGTGCCTCTACAGCCTCAGGTGTTGATGAGCTCTCAGGGCCTGCTGAGCCCGGCCTTCCTCTGGCCCTCCATCCTGTTGAGTTTTGCTTTCACAAAGATGTCTTGGTCAGGGAACATGTCTCATCGGTGTATACTGCAGGGTACGCACAGGACTGGTAACGTGCAGACCTGCTCCTGGCTATGCTAGGGCCTCTCTCCCCACAGTAAGCGCATGTCCTCTGACTAGAGGTCAAAGATGTGTCAGCCTCTCGTTGTCACAACTGAACCTGCCAAAAGATGCTGACTAAAAAGGTATGTCCTCAATCCAAGCCCTAATGAGCCTGGCAGCTTTAACGGCTTACCACACTCTGCATAAGGTGATATTTGCGCTGCTGATTCTAACGTAATAAGCCATACTGGTATTGCCTGCAGCCCTGTGACAAGCTCCCTCTGACAAGCTCCTGAACCTGAGCTGAATTTGCATTTTATGTATGTATGTATGTACATATTTTTGAGACAGAGTCTCGTTCTATCACCCAGGCCAGAGTACAGTAGCATGATCTCAGCTCACTGCAACCTTGAACTTCTTGGGTTCAAGTGATTCTTATGCCTCAGTCTCCCCAGTACCTGGGATTATAGGCGCTCACAATCATGCCCAGGTAACTTTTGCATTTTCAGTAGAGATGGGTTTTCACCTGTTAGCCAAGCTGGTCTCAAACTCCTGGCCTCAAGTGATCTGCCCACCTCGGCCTCCCAAAGTGCTGGGATTACAGGTGTGAACCACTGTGCCCAGCCTGAATTTCCCTTTAAAGGTTCTCAGGAAGCCCACACTAGCATGCAGTCCTGCAGATCTACATTCTGCACATTCAGAGAACTTCTGAGGCAACTCTTGCTTTACTCACTTCCTTTAGGACTGCCTAAGGGGAATATATCCAGTGTAATTCAGTGGGCCCCAGTTCTTTCTCTGGTGCCCCAAATAGCTGTTGTAAGTGCTTGGAACTCTGCTGATGGAAGCGGATGGGTAATCACTCAATGAGATTCATGGAAGGCAAGAAGGCAGAGAGTGTCCTAATCTGACCAGCTAGCTAAGGCCATTCTTGCTTTAACCACTACCAAAATTTAAGATGACCATCATGCTTAAGGACCAGGGCATTCTCCATAGAACTCTGGTGAGCCTTGTCTGTGCTGCCTGCTACCGAGTTTGACCCATAACAGCACTAGATTATGGCAGTGATGGGTTAGAAAGAAAGCGGGAAAGACCCCAGGCTTTCCATGGTGTTTGCACACACAGGACACCGGGGCATCCACAAGTTTCGTGCACACGGAAACCACTGCCAGCTGCCCGCTGCCCCCTCACTCGGTGCTTCTCCGGAGGCCCAGACTGAGGAGAACAATTTAGTAGAGTTTCAAAGACTTCACACCTGATTTATAGACAGGGGAACACATGTTTCTTGTTCCAATGAAAAAAAAAACAAGAAAATGAACTTCGTAGAGTACTGAGGCAGACATCAGGCAAGGCAGCTGCACACAGCATGCGCGGCCAGTTGAATGGGTCAATGACTGCTTAGAATCAGAAAACACTGTGAAGTGACACAAATGTCTGTCTTCTGAGATGGAAAGATCTTCATGACACACTGATTGAAAGTAAGTAAAGGGTAGAACTTATGCATAGCAAAATCTCATTTATGTTTTAAAAATATAGATACAGGTGTGTGTGTGTGTGTGTGTGTGTATGCACATGTGTGTACTTTATGGAGAGGAAGTTGGGGTGAAGTAGAACTGCATGTTTTTATTTCATGTACTTCTGTACTGTTTGGGGGAACCATGGATGTGAAAGCTTGAGAGCTGAGCCGTAATTATCCTAGGTAGGATGGACTTTGAACCACACTAAAATCTGGAACAGGCCAAGAGGACCCAGACTCACCTCTCCTCTTACAAGGATACACCTTGCTTTATGTCTTTCAAGATAACCTCCCACCCTCGCCTCCTTCATCACATATTCTTTGGGGACATACAGGGGCTCAGAAACATTCTTATGATGTGAAGAAAAGTGGACTGAGTGACTCCTCACAGACCTGGGCCTTGGAGCTTCGATGCCATGAAGGTGGACTCCCAGATTAAAACCTGACCCCTCGAGGGTTCATGGGATCCAGATGAGAAAACTGCCTTCTGGGCCAAGGGATGGAAGAAGCATATCCCAAAAGCAAGGAGCAGAGGTATGCAAACAGTGCTATTAGACACACCAAATACCTCCGCCAAACACAACAGGCGAGGAGATGTCTACACCAAGGCGGGGCTCTCCTAACCCAGGTGTTTGTTCCAGAGTCTGATCCTGTTAAGCTTAGGGTAGCTGAATTCCACAGCAGAAGGTCCAACTGCCCTGGACTTAACAGAAGTACCTTATCACAAGGAGCTGGACCAACATCTGGCATAAGTCTCTAGGAACCACTGCAGGCCCCGGCTCCCAGCATCCAACCCCAGTGATATGGGCACCCTTCAACCCAGCGGTCATGTGGGCTCAGGCCTGAACCCCACTGGCCAGAGGCAAACTATTGGAAGAGGGTTGGCAGTCAGTGCTTTAACAAATACATACAAGAGGAGAGTCTGGAAAGTGAGAACGATTTAAATTGGAAAAGATTTTTTAAAAAATGCACAGGGACATCAATGGAGAAATCTTAGGAATAAACTGAAATCCCGGAAGGTCTGTCAAATTTTAGGACAACCCAAGTTACCCCACGGCCTCGACAGCACCATTGTGGGGACCATCGGGGCAGCCCAGTGTTGGGGCAGCCGCCCTGGGTTTCTGGAGGCTTCATTCACGTGGTGCGCCTGGAGCGCGGGCAGCTTCCTCCACTCTCTGCGCCTCCTGATGTTCCCTTCAAGGCTGGTTGCTCAGCTACACAAGACACACACAGACTCAGCCTATGGCCTGTCAGCTACAGAGCCGCACATCTGCCCGAGGGAAGAGAGGAGCGGTGGAGGGAATGAGGTGCCACCGGCACAGATACCAGCCACTGACCCTTTGCCGTCACAGGCCCAAAGCCCCAGACATTTTTGTTTGCAGTATTTTCGGAGTGTGGCTGGTAGAGATGATTGCAACAGGGTAGGAAAATGGCCTGCTCAATCTATTTTACTTACATAAAAGAAATAACACCTTGATGAGAATAAATAAAACTCTCCAAAATTTTAGAGAACACCAATACCAGTAAGGAGTTTGGGAGTGGGGAGAGGCCATGTGGCAGGCTGGACTCCAGCACCCCTCGTCTCTCCTCCCAGCTCATCTGGAGGCTTTCTCACCCTCCCTGGCTGCTGGCACCCTTTGCAGGCAGTCAGTGTGGCCGCTGCAGCAGTGAGCAGGGCTTTACTTCACAACCAAGTGGTAACCGTGTTCATCAGCAATGCCCACAAGATCTTGTACATGACTAAGTCTGACCTTTAGGTGAGGGAGAGAGAATTGGAGATGAAGGTAGAAAATCCACCAGTACCTTCCCTGCTGGATAAGACAGTTACCCCTCACACCCACAGTGCTTTCAGAGAGGAGAGGGTGATGTCCCCTGGGGTACAAGCCAAGGGAAAGACACCAGCCTCAATCTCCTTGCAGTCTGGGTATTCAGTTAAAAAAAAAAAAAAAAAAAGGCACCAGCCTCAAGATCCAAGAGGAGCCCGGAGAGAACCAGAGACTGATCTTGCTGCTTCCTAAAGGATGGTTTGAGTGCTGCTCTGGCCTCCCCACCACCCCTTCTCAGGCAGAGCCCACCATGGCTGACACCCTCACCTCCCACCTGTGGCTGACCCCCAAGCCCCAGGCTTGATCACCGTTGCCTGTGGCCACCCACCCACCACAGTCGACCACCACCCTCCCATGGCTGACCACTCCCTGCTCTGCTGTTTTCAAGTCTTACCACCTTCTGAACTCAGGCTTAGTGGCAGCATTCACATACAAAAGCCTCACTTTCCACAAAGCTGGATCAGCCAAGAACAGGAAACCTTTGCATTGGCTGTGTATCCAAGCCCTCCAAGAGAAGCTCTTTCTTTTCTTCCTCTGGGAAGAGGAAAGGTGCCTGAAGCTGTGGTACCAGAAACACAAGGGTCAGAAACTTTCCTAAGGAAGCTTGCACTCTGTCAAGCAGAGTGGGAGGAGGAACCAACCGTGGACAATGAACATGCTGACTGGAGGAGCTCCCTTCCCGGCGGACCTGCTGCCATCTGTAGAATGGCAGATCAGCTAGTGGAACTGAGAGCCCCCGTGGCAGGCCATGACTCACTAGTATTCAGTAAGTGCTGACTGTGTGCATGTTACTACAGAGGGTGGGATAAAGTGCTCACTGAGAAGAGTGAGACTCTGTCCTGCCCTCAGGGTGCCTACATCTCTGTAGGTTGATTATCATGGTGACCAATCTTGGCATTTACGAGACATAGTGTTTCCTTGGTTATGATGTTCATCTTGACCTTATTTGTTGTATCTTGGTGCATACCAAGTGAAATCTGTTCTTTTTCTACCCTTTACATCAAAGACTTAAAAAAATCATCCTAAGTTGACCTCTTTTGTTTCACATTTAAATTCACCCATTTACTTCTCCTCTACCAGGCCAAGATTTCCTATTCTGTGTTTTTGTAAATTAGGCCACATTTACTCTTATTCTCTCCTCCCTCTTCTGGGGCTGCAGTTTCCCCATCTATAAAAAGAAGAAGGCCAGACATGGTAGCTCACATCTGTAATCCCAACACTTTGGAGGCTGAGTGGGGAGGATCACTTGATCCCAGGAGTTTGGGACCAGCCTGGGCAACATGGTGAAACCCTGTCTTTACAAACATTAAAATAATTAGCCAGGCACATGCCTGCAGTCCTAGTGATTCAGGAGGCTGAGGCAGGGGTATCACCTGAGCCCGGGAGTCCAGGTATGCACTGTCATATGGTGGCACTAACTACCTTCTAAGACTTCTACAGCTGCAAGTGGCCAGTGGTTGTTGCAGGAGACAGAGCAGATACAGAACGTTTCTATTTCACAGAAACTCCACTGGACAGTATTGGTCTAGATTGCTGAGACCCCTGTGAGGTCTGACACCCTATGGTCCATGATTTCTAAGAACTTCTCCTAACTTTCCTCTTAAACTCCATTGCTTCAGTCTCAAGTCTCAGTTTGGCTTGCTTGTATAATAATCTGTGTAAAATGCATATATATATATATATAATAATAATCTGTGTAAAATGCATATATCTTGAAGTATGGAACCTGCATGATATAGAGAATTCTAGGATTTGGATGTGACCTGATTTGGGGTTTGGATGGTTTCTGTCTTGTTTTCAAAATTCCTCTGACAGTATCTAGTATTTTACTGGTCAATCTAATCCAGCCAATACACTAGGCCAGGGTCTTTAGAAAACGGTCTGTTGGGATCTTTTATTGGATTTCAGCTGATATTTATAAGCCCATCCTCCTAAGAACAGGATTACTCCTAGACTTATGGCGCTGCCAGTGCTTTGTTTCTGGGCCTTGGCCCTGCTCAGCTGTATATAAGCCTGCCAATTCTTAGGGTCCTCAAATAGCCCCAAGGACCCAGAGGTCTTTCCCCCCATCCCAAAGAGCAACCACCATTTGCTTCATTGACCATCATGAAATTACCCAGCAGTGAAAGCAGAGTGTTTCTCCTTGATATGGAAACTAAGACAATAATCAGACTTTTAAAACATAGATGAAGCTAAAAATTATGAGTAATTCTAGAAAAAGATCTCAGCCAGGCAGGTGGCTGACACCTATAATCGTAGCACTTTAGGAGGCTGAGGCAGGAAGATCACTTGAGGCCAGGAGTTTGAGACCAGCCTAGGCGACACAGTGAGACCTCATCTCTACAAAAATTTTAAAAAGACCTTTTCTATCTATAATTCTGCTTGTCAGAGAAGTAATACACCATCAAGTGCTTATTCTCGCCTTCACTGCCCGACCCACTTGCCCTAGGCTGACCTCCAGAGCTCTCTGGGGATTTTATACTCTAAAACAGACACCAGACATGGGCCAGGGGCCAAAGCATGCATAAGAAGAAAGATGTGAAGAAGACAAGTTACCTGACAGATAACGTTATCATAGTGAGCCAAGGCACGGGCATGGGGGGAGGAGGTACGGGGAGTGTTGCAAAGTTTCCTTACATTTGGGTGAGAGCCCTCAGCAATGGTGGAGAGGGAGAAGTTATCATTGTGGAGCTCAGATGGGGTCCGGAATTTGCTGGTTAGGAGAGAAGAGAGAAGGAAAAATGTAAGTGAAATAATCACGGCAAAACATGACAATAGTAGCACCATCTCAGCTTCTGGATCAAATCCTGTATTTTCACCAGATGCAGAGACTCACACCTATAACCCCAGAACTTTGGGAGGCTATGGGGAGGCAGATCACTTGAGGTCAGGAGTTTGGGATTAGTCTGACCAACATGGTGAAACCCCATCTCTACTAAAAATACAAAAATTAGCTAGGTGTGGTGGCGCATGCCTGTAATCTCAGCTACTTGGGAGGCTGAGGCAGGAGAATCTCTTGAACCTGGGAGGCAAAGGTTGCAATGAGCTGAGATTGCGCCACTGCACTTCAGCCAGGGCGACAGAGCGAGACTCCATCTCAAAAAACAAAACAGGGCCGGGCGCGGTGGCTCAAGCCTGTAATCCCAGCACTTTGGGAGGCCGAGGCAGGTGAATCACGAGGTCAAGAGATCAAGGCCATTCTGGTCAACATGGTGAAACCCCGTCTCTACTGAAAATACAAAACATTAGCTGGGCATGGTGGCGCGTGCCTGTAGTCCCAGCTACTCGGGAGGCTGAGGCAGGAGAATTGCCTGAACCCGGGAGGCGGAGGTGCGGTGAGCCGAGATCGCACCATTGCACTCCAGCCTGGGTAACAAGAGCGAAACTCCGTCTCAAAAACAAACAAACAAAATGCTGTATTTCTTTCTTTTTTAAAAAACTATTTTAAATTTTATTGATAGGTACAGAACTGTGCCTGATGCTGGTTATTGGTTTATAAAGCATTTTCTTTTCTTGTTTTTTTCTTTGTTTGTTTGTTTGCTTGGTTTTTTTTGAGACAGGGTCTCACTTTGTTGCCCAGGCTTGAGTGCAGTGGCACAAACATAGCTCACTGCAGCCTCGACCTCCTGGGCTCAAGTAATCTTTCTACCTCAGCCTCCCAAGTAGCTAGGACTACAGGTGTGTGCCACCATGCCCAGGTAATTTTTGTATTTTTTATAGAGATGTGGTTTTACCATGTTGCCCAGGCTGATCTCGAAGTTCTGAGCTGAAACAATCCGCCTGCCTCAGCCTCCCAAAATGTTAGGATTACAGGTGTGAACTACTGCGCCTGGCCAAATACTGTATTTCATCAAATGCTGTGGATTATCTTTTTTTCTGAGGCGGACTCTGGCTCTATTGCCGGGCTGGAGTGCAGTGGCATGATCTCGGCTCACTGCACTCAGCCGAGCTTTTCTGATATATTTGAAGTATTCATTTAGACTTTAGATAAGGGACTGACAACAATATGAACAGCTAGGAACCCATTTGTGCATGCCAGGCTATTACAACAACATCATGGCTACCATGTGGCCAGCAGTGATTAGAAGATGTCAGTGGCTGGGCACAGTGTGCATGCCTGTAATCACAGCTATTTGGGAGGCTGAGGTAGAAGGATCACTTGAGCCCAGGGGTTCAAGATCACCCTGGGTAACATAGTGAGACAATTTAAAAAAAAGATGCCAGTGATTGTAAGACACAATCCAATTTCAGAGATGGTAATATGTGGGAGAAAAGAGGTATATCTTAGAATCAATAAATTACAGCAGTATCTGTAGTGCACCAGGCACATGTCACACCATCAAAGCAGTAATCAGGCTTGGGAAAGAAAGAGGGCATGCGGAGAAACGAGAGGGCCATGTTCTGTGAAAAACACAGGGCTGGCTAGAACAGGAGGCCCTAGAATAGGGTCCTGGCCCTGGCCTCAGCTCTTGCTTCTCCACTGCCCTGGCTGCTGCTCCTTTCTCTCCCCCATCCTCATCAGCAGCTGCCCTGATTGAAGCAGTCCCACCTCCTGCCCCCAGCATACCCCTGCTCACCCACCCACTTGGTGCAGGCGTGAGGAGCCAGGGGTCCAGGACTGCGTCTCTCTGGAGTGATCACGTGCGTAGATGAGCCTGCCTCAGTGCACAGGCACAATGGAGAGGCCCTTCCAGCCCCACGGCGGTTAGCTGAAAGGCTGCAGAGAGCCTCTGGCATCTGTACTTTGTGTGAGTCTACCCAGCAAAGGAGCAACAGATGGTGTTTTGTCCTTCTCCCAGGACCCAGGGAAAGTCCTTCAGTCACATTCTCTAGAGGGAGTCTCAGGTCAAGGGGAGGGGCATTAATGGGGCAATAGGTTGAAAGGGAAGTGGGGGCAGTTCTGCATAAACTGTCTCTGGGGTCCCAAGGAAGCTGAACGCCAATCTCCCTTTTGTGACTCCTGTGACGCTTCCAAAACGTTTTCTAACTTTGCTTAATAATAGGAGCAATTCTCTCACACCGTGTAAGGTCACATCTAAGTGTTTAAGGCATGGGCTTAAAGGCAAACACATGTTGATTCTCACATGCACACAACAGTCACTGCTTTGCTAAGGGAAGAGCCGAAATAAGATTCTACATCCCCATGGCCCTTAAAATCCACAGTAGAGGAAGTTAACCCTAGTTCTCCCCACATATTCTATTCAGGAGAGGTAAAGAGGATTTCCTTAAGTTCCTTGCACTTCTGATTGGATACAGGCTTGATTAGCTTTCAAAAAGTGATGCAGTGTGGTGCTAAATAAACCCTTTCTCCTCAGCATTCAGTGGGAAGGAGCTGGTTCTGGGTGACCGACGTGGGGGAGATGGAGTTCCTCTATGCAGAATTGTGAATGAAATCTCGCACTGGCCGCTGGCTGCCACAGTGTAGGGAAGAAGGGCCTCAGGCGGGTGGGCAGACTGAGTAACTTACTTGGGGACTAGAGCAGGAATAGCTACATGCTGGCTGCCTTTTCCAGAGCAGGCTCTAAGAGGCCCAGGGCAGGCTTTTGGGAGAGCTGCTGGCCAGCGGCAGTGTGCCACAGGGGCTTAACCTCTGCGGCAGCTCCAGCACATTCTGTGTGGGAATGGATGAGCCTGGGTGAATCTTTAGCATGGACAAAACAGCTGGGAATGGAGCACCGGTGCCAGAAACCCTCACGACAAATCCTTGGATCAGTTGGGGGGTTGGGGCGCCCCCCAACACCCCGACCTGGGTAGATTGGGTGGGTGACACAGACTCACTTGGTCCTACGCAGCTTGGTATTCTCCGTCTTGAGCAGGTAAAGCTTCTTGGCGAAGAACACTGTCATCATGAAGAGCAGGAGCAGGACAAGGGCGGCTGAGCCCACGGCCACACACATCACCTGGAAGTCGGTGATGATGGACTCGCAGCGCATCCCTTTGTGCCAGATGTAGTCCTGCGTGTTGCACCTGCAGCAGCGACATTGAGAGGCTGTGGCGATGGAGCAGGCAGCCACAGCCCCAGCAAGGGCCTGGGCCCTGACCCCGACACCTATCTCCATAGCCTGTTCCTAAGGCCATCTCGAGGAACTGCAGACCTCAGAGCTGGTGTCATAGTTCCCACCTTTACAACCATTCTATGAAGTGGGTCAGGGAGCTCTGAGGCCCGTGATATAAATGAGGTAACCGAGGTATAGAGAAACTGAGTGAACTGGTCAAAGTTCTCTGACTGCTAAGTGACCAAGGAGAGAAGGGAATCTGGTCTTCTGCTATGCAGCCACAATGAAGACACCAACAGGATCCTCTCAGGCCTCTCCCTGCCCTGGGCTCTGGGTGAAAGAATGATGAAAAACAAGAGGAATAAGAGCTACGACTACAAAGTCCCAGGACCTGCCCTGCACGTGCAAACCTATCTTGCGGTTTTGGAGTCCCACCCAGTTCACGTGGCTAAGCAGACACCAAAAAATTAGGAAGTGACAGACAAGGACAAACAGAAAGATGAATGTAGATTCTTCTCTCGCTGCAGCCCCCCATGTTCTGCCCCTAAAGCTCCCTAGCCTAGTACTATGAGAACTGTCATGCAAGCACGGTGAGAATCAACCCTCTGGGTGGGTTTTAGTCCTTTTGTTGAGTGACTTTCTCCTGCCCTTGGGGACATTCCCAGGCTCCAACTCTTCCAATGACATGGCTGTTTCCATGGGAACCAGGCTGCTTCAAAGAGGAAAGATGTGGAAGGATACAGAGGCAGGCAAAGGAGGGAGGACATGAACCTCAGGGTGAATGACAGACAAGAGAAAGGGGTCCAGAAATGGGGAAATTATGCACAAGAGAATTGGCTACTCTGCATCTAGAATAGGGTGGGGAGACAGGACTAGCAAGAAATTCTTTGTTTTCCAACCGAGCCTATGCTGCCATGGGGTGGCTATCTGTTTGAGGTTGCTAGGGAATGCAGACCCCTCTAAGTGGGGCCCTCTACCCCAGTGTTCTAGAGAAGTTCCGCCACAGCTTTGCTTGTTTCCCTGCAGCGGGTCAGGGTGACAGAGACAAAGGCATGCTGCAGTCTGCAACCAAAGGCTCAGCAGTCTCCTGTGAGTGGAATGCAAAAATAGTTTTCAAGCCGTGGCCTGGCCTGAGTGTACACAGCCAGAGGAGGAATCTGGTTGGGAGGCCCGAATGTGACCCTGGGACGGAAGCTAAGTGAGGGGAACTGGAGTGGACACGTGGAGATGACTTTGTGAGGCATGAGAGGCTGGCAGACCCATGGCTGGCAGAACCATGTAGCTTAGTGAGGAAGACAATCTTATTCTTCTGCTTGGGAATTTCCTGATTGCTCCAGGAGATTCTGGGAACTTTTACAGCTCTCTAGAGGCAGCAAGGGCTCCAAATTTCATACCATTATGGGGAGTTCACTTTGAAGGTAAAACTTCCAGGCCTCCAATAGGATGAAAGCTGATGATTTTGCAGAGATTCCACAGCCCCCAGGCTGAAATCATCACTGTAGTCCCCTAAACTGAGCAAAATCACAGGGTTTCCCCATATTTCTGGTAGCTCTTAATCAGTGGCAAGTTAGTTTATTGCCATACTTCCTTTTTTAAAAAAAATTGCTATAACATCTTAATCATAGTACCCCCTTTTGGCAATGGCTGGACAACTCTGAGAACTGTGTGGTCACATCCTATGAGTGACCCTAATGTCATGACCATTTAAAAAAAAGAACTTCAGGTCGGGCGCGGTGGCTCATGCCTGTAATCTCAGCACTTTGGGAGGCTGAGGCGGGAGGTTCACCAGAGGTCAGGAGTTCAAGACCAGACTGACCAACAAGGAGAAACCCCGCCTCTACTAAAAATACAAAATTAGCCGGGTGTGGTGGCACATGCCTGTAATCCCAGCTACTCTGGAGGCTGAGGCAGGAGAATCACTTGAACCCAGGAGGCGGAGGTTGTGGTGAGCCGAGATTGCGCCATTGCACTCCAGCCTGGGCAATAAGAATAAAACTCCATCTCAAAAAAAAAAAAAAAAGAAAAGGAAAACTTCATAGAAAGAAACTGGAACTCAATGGCAAAAAATACTCATTGCTTTCTATATGTTATTCTCCTATCAGTACATCAAGACCTAAGGAACTTGAATTCTTCATATGCTTGCTGAAGGAACAAGAACAAGAAGCATGGAGAATGACACTATTTAAAAGATACATCCTGGCCGGGCACGGTGACTCACGCCTATAATCCAAGCACTTTGAGAGGCTGAGGTGGGCAGATCACTTGAGATCAGGAGTTAGAGACCAGCCTGGGCAATATGGTGAAAACTCGTCCTGCTAAAAATTAAATAAGAGACACTCAGATGACAGAAATGCTCCACCCAGGGCCAATGGAGACAACCCTCAAAGGAGTCTGAGGGCGGCACTCTGCTTCTGCGGTCTGTACAAGCAAATCACCTGATCACCCCAATGTGGGATTCTTCCAGAATCAGGCTGCAAGCTCTCCAGCAAGTTAAATACCTCAGTGTGAGGCCAGTTCCCAAGAGTGAGGTGAATAGGATAATTACTGATGAGCTGCAGATGATGCCCTTTGGGAAACTAAATTCTGAGTCTTTAAAAGGATTATGGATTTGATATCCCAAGGTAGACTCACATCAATATAGAGAGAAAAAAGCCACCTTCCAAAGTGAAGAAACACTCCCATATCTGCAATTTGAAGACTCTCAGCTTGATTTTACCTGTGGGAGTGGCTGCATTTTGGGGTCTGTTCCCAAGAGGTTCCTCCCTTTTGAGTTTACATGCCCACATCCCTTCTGGGGAACTGGGCCCTCCTCCCACCGTGCACAAGACATGGAGCAGCATTCAGCAACCGTGTTTATCCCACAGAGTAGTTTTGTGGGCCTAGCCCTCTCACTAGCACTGCTGGAACTCTCCAGCAAACATCCCTCAACCCAGCAAAGGCTTCTTTCCAAAACTCTTAAAGAAGTCCCTTCATTTTGCCCTTTTAATTGAGGGGTTTGGATAAGGACACAATACCCAGAGGAAAGACATAATCTTATATCTGAGGAACCTCTTCTAGTGATAAGGTCACAGGAAATGCATTTTACTAAGTAATTCTGTAGAAGCCTGAGGGAACATTTCTCGACCTGGGAATCCTGAGACAGTACAACCTCTTGCAAGTTGCGCCTGTCACATGGCCCTCTACTGAGTTGGCCTCACATACACTCTTCAGCGCCCCTCTCCACCTGCCTGCCATGCCCTTACCTGCAGAAGGCCCCTATGTTCTCCACCAGGTAGCACTGGCCGCCATTGTGACAGTAACTTGGGAAGAGGTCGCACACTGACCGGCAGGAGCCGTTTTGCCGCACAAAGCCACTGCGGCACTCAGTGCCATTTTCACTGGAGACCAGGTCTCTTCCTGGCTCTCCTGGGCGGGGCCTGAGGGCGATGCTGCTGCCAGGGACCAACCCCAGAGTGTGCTGTGGAGGGATGGCATGCCACCGACTGGTGGGCTGGCCTGTCCCGGGCCCCAGACCAGGCTTCCCAGTGGGCACTAGAAGCTCATTTTCATCTTCTAGGTCACCACCTCCTACTGCATCTTTGTCATCCTCCTCTTCCTCTTCCTCTTCATCCAAGTCATCATAAAAGGATGTGGTGGGGTAGAAATCAGATTCATCAAAGGGGGTGAAATCATCGTATAAGTCAAGCAGGCTCCAGGAAGGGGTCTCTCCCTCAGTATCAGGGTGGTTATCTGAGGTTCCTGGTGATCCTGGGAAGCTCCCCAGGTCTGCACCACGACCCTCACCATCCAATCCTTCGAAGTAGTCGATATCAATTATATCTGATGCCGGTTGGGGCTCCAGGGTGCCCTGAAAGGGGTAAGTGGGCTCTGGCCCTTGAGGGTCAGGTGTGCTGCCCCCCAGGTTCAGCCAAACCTCCAAGGGGTTCTCCTTGGGGAGTTCAGAAGCTTGGCTCAGCTTGTCACCAGGAGTGGGGGAGGGTGGCCCGCTGGCCTCTGTAGCCTCAGGAGTGGCAGGGGGCACGGATGACTGCCCGAGGGCCTCGTGGGGAGCCTGGAGCGTAGCTGGAAGGGACTGGGCATCGCCACTGCCCGCCTCTGCAGTCACTCCTCTCAGGCCTGGGCTGTCAGCCTCTAGCCAGGCGGTGCCGGTCACCGCAGTCGACGCCTGCAGCGCCTCCTCTGGCCCGGCCAGCTCGCCGCCGGGCGCCGTCCACGACGCCTCATCTTCTCCAGCCGCTGGCAGGCCGGCTTCCTCCCGCGTGTCGTTGGCACGCGGCTCCCACGCCGGGCTGCCCTTCATCAGCTCTTCGGCCTCGACAGCGCTGCCCGCCTCACGCGCTGCATGCGGGAGGGCGAGGGGCGGGGTGTCAGGGCGGCGCGCGGGGGAGCCCTCGAGCCCCGGCCCGACCCGCTCGCCTAGACCCGGTCAACCCAGACCCAGCCGCCCTCAGACCCCACCGCCCCAGGATGGCCCCGGCCACTAGGCACCTCTAAGCCTCATCCCGGAGTCCGTCCCCGAGCCCAGCATCACACCCCGCCCAACGCCTCGCGGCTCGGGCCCCGCCCGACCTGCTCGCCATCGGAAGAGCCGGGCCAGGGCGGCCCCCACCTCGGCCCACCCAGAAGTCTCACCCTCGGGGACCTGCCCGGAGCCGCGTCCACAGGCGCCCTCCCTCAGCTCCAGGTCCCGCCCCTAAGTCTCACCCTCAGGCCCCGCCCCAGCCCCGCCCCTGGCCCCGCCCCCAGCCCGCACCAGGGCCCGCGCGCTGGGGTCGCAGTTACCCCCACCCGGGTCGGCCTCCCCCGGACCCCCGCCACCTCCCGCGACCCTTGCCCCGCCCGGCCGCTGCCAGGCGGTGCCTCGCCTCCTTGCCACAGCTCGCGGCTCCACCTGTCTCCGCTGCCAGCGGGACCCCGGCCCTAGGTGGGGCGCAAGAGCCGCGGGGGTCCCGGGCGCAGTCGTACCTACCCGGCACGGCCCCAGAGGCCAGGACCAGCACGGCCCCCAGCAACAGCAGCAGTGGCGGCGGCCCCCGGCCCGGGCCCCCGCCCCCGGCTCGGCCCATGGCGCGGCGCCCCGACCGCTGTCCGCGGTCCGCCCAGCTGGCTGCGCCCTCCGCTCGCCCGGCCGCCGCGCCTCCTGCCCGTGCTGCGGCCGCCTCAGCCCACGATGGGCAGCGCGAGGAGCCGCATGCCGCCGCCGCCGCCGTCCGCCGCTGTCCCCGGCGCGCCGCGCCTCCCCGCCTCCCGCGCCGCCGCTGCCGCCGCTGCGCTCAGCGCCGCCCTCACCCCGCCCGCCGCGCCCGCCCCGCCGCACGTAGCGCTGACGCCGGCTCCTCGGTCCGCCTGCCAGGGGGACAGACAGACCCCTCGCTGGGGACGCCGAGACACACGGACGGGGAGCGCAGGGCAGGCGCACTGCGCGGCGCACGGCGTTAGGCGGCAGGTGCACGGGCGGGAGACCTGAGGGGTGGGGCCACGGTCCCGCTCCCGGTGAACAGGAGGCACGGGGCCCCGACCCGGAGGAACCCACCCGCCACGCGGCGAGCACGGAGGCGGGGACGTCGCGGGCCCGGATACCCGCAGGGTCGGGGCGGGGCTCGGAAGAGCGGCAGGGGGGCGGAAGCACGAGCCCCCACTGTGGAAACGAGCCAGGCCCGGGGCACACTGAGCCTCTCGGATTTCTGCACTAACCCCTTGTTCCGGGCGGGAAGGCTCTCGGGGAGGTCTCCAGGTCTCCAGGTCTCCACGAGGGAAGGGCGGGCGTTGGCAGAGCCTGGCAAGGGGGCAAAGCCGATGGCCCAGGCTCTAATCGGATCAGACCTAATCCTTTCGCAGCCAAAGCCACTAGCCCAGATCTCGCACAGCCAGGCCCGCCAGAACGCATCCCGGGAGCAAGGGGAGAGACCCTCCCTGGGACTGCGGCTACCTTGCCTTCCTTCTAGCCATCTCTGGGCAACCTGGGGAGCGGCCTTTAATCCTGGTCCCTCCTCCGGGATACGTTGTCCCCCAGGCGTCTCAGACCACCGAAACTCAGGTTCCAGGGTAGACCAGGGGGACTAGATCCCCAGCCGGGCACACACGGACACCAGGCTTTAGAGTGATCTGTGGGGCCCATTCACAGCTTCAGGGCTGATAGGGCAACCCAGGACCACTCACTACGAAGTCGGCTTTGTCGGGAGGAGGAACCACAACCTAGTCACCTGGTTTATTCCCCCAAACCGACTGTCTACCCCTTAATGTGTTACCCACCCAAATGACAGTTCAGGGTATCAACCCAAGGAGACTAGGGCAACTCCCAGTATTTAAGAGATGGTCCCATACACGTCTCCAGATGGAGTTGCCTTGGTTCAAAACCCTTTTCTCAGCAGAACTATGGCTGCAGCCTATTTGCCTGCCCTAGTGGCGTCTCTACCTCTCCTGCCTGGCAAACTCTCCCTCATGCCAGAAAAGCTCAGTTCTTCTCACCTTTCCCTCTATGAAGCCTCCTCAGCAGTTGCGCTGATGCCCATCATCTCATCTTGTCTACACTTGAATGCACAGGGCTGGTAACAGGGAGGCTCCATATTACGCATAAGTGAGCGAATGGCAACCACCCACACCCACCACAGAACTGTGGTCTGGAGCTCCTTGCAAAAGGGGTAAGGCTCTTTCTTTCATAGTTTCATGCTGCCTCCCGGGACCAAGTAAAATATGTTTGAAATAATTAGCACTCACCTGTTGGCCACAGAAGAAGCAACACACCCTGAACTGCCTTCAACCCCATCTCTGCTTCCCTTGTGTGCAGATTAACTCCTGTCACCATTTACTGTATGTAGACTCTCCGTGTTCCTCTGCTTCTGTTTCAACTCCGGTTGTGGTTGTCAGAGCGGCTGTGCCTACCTCCTCGTTGCCTTCCTGAGGCTGGTCTGTGTGGGAAGGTCTCACGGATGTGTTCCATGATGTCTGGGGCATGGCAAACACTCACATGTTTTCAACAAGGGTTGATGCAGGAAGTTTTCCCACTCTGTTAAAGCTCTACCTGCCCCAGTTTGTATTTGTCATTTTAAATATATTTTGTTAACTATTTAAATTTCTTCTTCCCTTTCCTGGAGATGAAATCTGCTTACCACTTCCTTCAATTTGGATTTTTTTTTTCTTTGAGATGGAATTTCCCTCTTGTTGGCCAGGCTGGAGTGCAATGGTGTAATCTTGGCTCACTGCAACTTCGGCCTCCCAGGTTCAAGCAATTCTCCTGCCTCAGCCGCCCGAGTAGCTGGCATTACAGGCATGCGCCACCACACCTGGCTAATTTTGTTATTTTCAGTAGAGATGTTATTTTCAGTTTCACCATGTTGGTTAGGCTGGTCTTGAACTCCCGACCTCATATGATCCGTCCGCCTACCCCTCCTAAAGTGCTGGGATTACAGGCGTGAGTCACTGCGTCCGGCCCAATATGGGATTTTAAATCGTTGCCACTCAGTTTCATTCTGATCTTCCTTAGCAGATCTTATCAGTAGTTTGAGAACTGAGCACAGCACACTTGATTGGGTAACACCTCCATAAGATGAATGGGAAAGCTCAGTCACTGGAATGTGATGGGAAGGGCAGGATTCAGTATGAGTGTGACCTTGAGAGATTTAGCAACCTGTCTCTCATATCTGAAAGTTCTTGGTAACCAGTGTCAAAGTAATACTTCTGAGCACAGGACTGTGGTAGGGTACAGCGAGAAGATGTAGGAACAAGAGAGTGAAAGAAAGGGAAACTGACATCCCTAGAGCTTATACTCATGTCCGCATAATCATGTCTCCTGCATCTGGACATCAGGGATGTTTTATATGGCAACAGCTTCTTCATGCCTCTGAAGTACTTACTGGGTTGGCAGCCTGCTTCCAGAGCTCAGGTAGGCTCAAGGTCCATTGTCATGACTGCAGGCAGCCTCCCTCTGCATGAAAAGCCCCTGGCTTGATCAGGGAGCTGTAGTCCAGGGCAGGAACACACCAGTTGCCATGGCTGGGGGCACAGCTGTGTGGACTAGAAGTTGCTGGCTTCTAGTCCTGGCTTTAAGTCCTCAGTATTAACCTCTAACATTGATATGGTTTGGAATTTTTATTCCCTCCAAATCTCATGCTGAAATGTGACATCTAGTGTTGGAGGTGGAGGTGTTTGGGTCATGGGGGTGGACTTCTTATGAATGGCTTGGTCCTGGAGATAATGAGTTCTTGCTTTATGGGTTCATGTGAGATCTAGTTGTTTAAATGAGCCTGGCACCTCCTCTCTCTCACTCCTGCTGTCACCATGTGATGCTGGCTCACCTTTGTCTTCTGCCATGATTGTAAACTTCCTGAGGCCCTGACTGGAAGCAGATGCTGGCACTAATGTTGTGTACAGCCTGCAGAACAGTTAGCCAAACACAGTTTTCCTGATGTTACCCAATCTCAGGTATTCTTTTTTTTTTTTTTTTTGAGACAGAGTTTCACTCATGTTACCCAGGCTGGAGTGCAATGGCGCGATCTCGGCTCACCGCAACCTCCGCCCCCTGGGTTCAGGCAATTCTCCTGCCTCAGCCTCCTGAGTAGCTGGGATTACAGGCACGCGCCACCACGCCCAGCTAATGTTTTTTGTATTTTTAGTAGAGACAGGGTTTCACCATGTTGACCAGGAAGGTCTCGATCTCTTGACCTCGTGATCCACCCGCCTCGGCCTCCCAAAGTGCTGGGATTACAGGCTTGAGCCACCACGCCCGGCCTCAGGTATTCTTTTATAGCAACACAAACAGGCTAACAAAGATATTACTGAGTTTTTAGTTTTCCTTGTGCTAATTTGCCTTATTCTTCACAATCACACTGCAAATATCTTCTCAGTCTTATTTTACACATCTGCAAACTGAGAGAATTAGCAACACTGTCCAAGATTACGCTAACGAAGTGGTAACGACAGGTTTTGAACTATAAGACCCTGATTCCAAACCCTTTCGTTTTAATATGGAGGCATTTAATTCCTGCTTGAGAAGAGTAATCAGGACACAGAGGTAGACTATCAACTGGCAGAACAGAAGACCTCCCTCCTCCCTTAACCAACTCTCCCACCTTCACTTAGCCATTTAAGATCTCTTAGCAGGGAACACAGCAACAAGACCAGACTCCTGGTTCTAGGCTGCATGGCAGTCTGCTCTGTGGCCATTTTAGGTGATGGGCTGCTGGTGACCATCCCCAGTAAGGGAAGGGCTAAGAGGTAGGGGTCTGGGTTCTTTGTGCTGACCACCAGTTCTGCACTGCAGAAAACTATGGATTCTCAGTTGAGCAAGTGCTCTCATCTAAGGACATCACAAACTGAAAGTGGTAATCTTGTCCAGGCAATGGGTCTACAACCAGATTGGAAAGGCCTCTTAAATTTCATTAAAGCCAAACCAGTTGGGAGAAAGCCACATAGCACAAGCAAGCACAGGGCCTCACCATGTGGAGCAACTAAATTTTTGTTTTTGTTTTGTTTTCAGATGGAGTTTCACTCTTGTTCCCCAGGTTGGAGTGCAGTGGTGTGATCGCCCACTGCAACCTCCACCTCCCAGGTTCAAGCGATTGTCCTGCCTTAGCCTCCCAAGTAGCTGGGATTACAGGCATGTGCCACCACGCCCAGCTAATTTTGTATTTTTAGTAGACAGGATTTCACCATGCTGCTCAGGCTGGTCTCGAACTCCTGACCTCAGGTGATCTGCCCACCTTGGCCTCCCAAAGTGCTGGGATTACAGGTATGAGCCACTGTGCCCACTAAGCAACTAAGTTTGTCTGCTGAAGAGACGTGCAGCCTCAGCAGGTGACCTAAGCACTTCTCGGGCACCCTGTAGCTACTGTGGAATAAGCTAACTAACTGTAAACATGAATGCCACAGGAAACCCATCCATGTCTGAACCAAACCAGACCCATCAATCAGCCTGTCGGTTTGGTTGGATCTACCTTCTGTCACCTGCTCAGTTCTGAAACTGTTAGGGAGGATCAGAATGAAACTGGCCATTACCATCCAAGACTGCTGCCACTTCCTTACGTTCTTCTGGACCAACTGCCCCAAGAGGGCACCTTAGACGGTAGACTGCTAGATAACCAGAGCAGAAGGCAGTTTTCTTGTCACTTGTCTGAAGGTGGTTGTCTCACTGTATTAAGGCGTGGCTATTTTCCAGAGACCTGCACAAGCTGTATCCTAAGGGGAGGTGGGAATATCTCCCCTGAAGGGTAAAGTTACTGTCCGAATTAGTCAAC